CAAAAAAAAAAAAAAAAAAAAAACAGGATTCTTCTTTAAATCTAACACCTTCATCTTCTTTCCATCAAATGTGATGTTGAAATTTCTTGTAACAAATGCTCATGGATTTTGAATGCAACAGAAAATTTTCATTTTGAGTTTCTCAAAATAATGAAGCTTTCTCCCTAAATAGACATAGACATTGCTCTACTCATCCTAGTAAATCTTCTTTGGTATTTGAATTATAACACCAAGTAAATGTCACCCAGGGAACCATACTTGACCTCATTTCTCCTAAGTTAAAGTTTTGCTTCAAATCCATAAACCTTATCAGTACACTCCAATATATTTTTGAGTGTCATTAAAATTTTTGATGTTATTTTATTCATGTGCTCAAAAAGCCATTTGTTGAAGCTAGTAAGCATCAAATCTGCAAAATGAGAATCATTCACAAAGAAATGCTGAAATGTTTCTTTCAGTGCATAAATTTTTTTGACTTTTTTTACTTCAGCATATTATGGGGGTACAAATGTTTAGGTTACATATATTGCCTTGCCCCCACCCTGAGTCAGAACTTCAAGCATGTCCAACCTCCAGATGGTGCGCATCGCATTCATTATGTATGTATATTACTCATACCCTCCTGCCCCCTCCCATCTGCCCAACGCCCGATAAATGTTATTCCTATATGTCCACTTAGGTGTTGATCAGTTAATACCAATTTTCTGGTGAGTACGTGTGGTGCATGTTTTTCCATTCTTGAGATACTTCACTTAGTAGAATGGGTTCCAGCTCTATCCAGGAATATACAAGAGGTGCAATATCATCATTGTTTCTTATAGCTGAATAGTACTCCATGGTATACATATACCACATTTTATTAATCCACTCATGTATTGATGGGTAGAGCATAAATTTTTAACAAAATCTCTACACACCTAGGTTTCAAACAGCAGAGAAGGCTGTGCTGACCCCATTTCTGCACAGAAATCTAAAAGGCAAGTGGGGAGTGTCTTAGATTTAATTAAATTCATCTAGCATCATTTATTGTGGAAATTAGACCTACAGGTAAACTTTTACAGGTGAGGGCTTCTTGGTAGATGAATCTTGGCATTTTCAGAACAAACTTGCCTCACTCAGGCATCAGTCTGCAGACCTATGCATAGTTTCCACAGTATTTCAAAATACATATCACTTTGAACATTTCCACCAGTTTATGTTGGTGCTTCTTGCATTTCTCTTCAGGGTTTCTAACAAGTACTAAAAACTAAGCACAATTAGTCAAGACCCATAGATGCGTGGATATAAAATGAAAATCCTTCCAATTCAACAATCTTGTAGGTTAGTGGCATCTTGACGTCCTTTGACCTGTCATCAGTGTGTTTCCTAATAGCAATAATGGAAAATAGCCCCTTCCCTATTCCCTTTACACAATTGGAAATTGTGAACAGTTTCTCTGCAGACTGCTAATCTGTGAGATTCTATTGGGGGAGGCATCTTAGCTTTATTTGTTAATCGTGCAACCCTGTCTCTAGCTTGTTGAACTTCATTTAAGAATGTTCTAACCCATCTCATAAAAGATCCCAGTTTCTCAATTTGCACTTCCAGATGTCTTAAAAAGTCCAAATCTTTCTATTAAAGGGGTCAGCAGTAGATCTACTTGTATCGCTTTGAAGTATCTCCATATTGCTTTCCACAGAGGTTGAACTACTTTGCAGTCCCACCAGCAGTATAGGAGTGTTCCTCTCTCTCCGCATCCATGCCAGCATTTGTTGCTTGTGGACTTTTTGATAAAGGCCATTCTCACTGGAGTTAAGTGATATCTCATTGTGGTTTTGATTTGCATTTCCCTGATGATTAGAGATGTTAAACATTATTTTCTATATACTGTGGCTTGTTCCTGTCTTCTTGAGAGTTCTGTTCACTGTCCTTTGCCCATCTTTTTTGATAGGTTGTTTGGATTCTTCAATTCACACTAATGGGGCATCTACCCAAAAGACAAAGAGTCCTTGTATGAAAATCACAACCGCAATAGAAGTTTATAGCAGCACAATCACAATTACCAAAGCTGTGGAAAAACCCAAAGTTGCCATAAGTTCATGAGGGATGTAATTAAAATGTGGTATTGTAACGCATGGAGTACTACCAGCTCTAAGAAACAATGAGTGATATAACCACATCTTATATTTCCGTTAGAGCTGGAACCCATATTACTAAGAATGAAAGTATCCCAAGAATGAAACAAGCCACCACATGTACATAGAAATTTTATTAACTGATCACACCAAGTGGACATATAGGAGTAACATTTATCAGGGCTGTCGGGAAGGTGGGAAGGGGAGGAGGGGAGATGTATATACACACCACAATGAGATAGAGAGTGAAAGTCTTGGGGGATAGACCACTTGAAGCTCTTACTGAGGGGGTAGGGGGCATGGGCCATATATGTATGATATTGATTGGGCCCATTGCCATAGTGTGTCGTGTGGTCGAAGTTAGTCTGTGTATATGAGCAATTCTCAGCCCTCTCATACCCAACGCCTCTTATGTACACAGATTTTTAACACTCCTACTTAACTATCTGGAACAATGAAGTCTAGATCAATTCTCACATGTATTTCAAAAAATACATCCTATAAGAAAGCCGCGGTGGCTCAGCCATGTATCACCTAACTTATGGGACTGAGCGGGACGGATCGCGCAAGGTCAGGAGTTAGAAACCGCCTGAGCGAGACCACCGTCCTTACAATATAAGAAAGAAATTACCACTAAATATATAACAATAACACAAACCAACATTGCCGCATCGCGTGGCGCATGCCTGTAGTCAGCTACTCGAGCTGAGGCAGTAGATCGCTGAGGCCAGAGATTCGGGTTCGCTGTGAGCCATGAGCTGACGCCAAAACGGCACATCACTCACCTGGCAAGTGAGACTCGCTCAAAAAAAAAAAAAAAAAAAAAAAAAAAAAAAAAAAAAAATAATCCATATAGTATTTTATACAATATCCATATTGTATTAACTATTATACAAATAAGAAATAATATTTATAAGAAATATAATAATTATAAGAATTATATAATATATATATAAAATAAATAAGATATAAGAAAATAATTTCTATTTCAATATGTAAATGCTTGGGTATGACACTCCCCAAGAGATTCGAGGAGGTAATTAGAGGCTCCCGATGATTTATAATGAGTAAATATGGATTTAGGAGAAGGGAAACATCAGAGGCAGAAAGTGCAGGAAAATGACAGACAAAGACCTCTGGGTGAGGCTGGGTGCGGTGGCTCATGCCTGTAATCCTAGCGCTCTGGGAGGTCGAGGCGGGCAGATTGTTTGAGCTCAGGAGTTCGAAACTAGCCTGAGCAAGAGCGAGACCCTGTCTCTACTATAAATGGAAAGAAATTAATTGGCCAACTAAATATATACAAAAATTAGCTGGGCATGGTGGCGCAACTGTAGTCCCAGCTACTCGGAGGCTGAGGCAGAGGAGTTGCTTGAGCCACAGGAGATTGAGGTTGCTGTGAGCTAGGCTGACGCCATGGCACTCACTCTAGCCTGGGCAACAAAGTGAGACTCTGTCTCAAAAAAAATAAAAATAAATAAATAAAACCTCTGGGTGAGATTTTCTGAAATAGTGAACGATTCCAAGGAAGATGCACTGCAAGTACAGTATCCTCTTGACTTACATGTGACAGCCACATTCCTGGATAGTTCAGGGCAGGCATGGTGGCTCACGCCGGTAATCCTAGCACTCCGGGAGGCCGTGGTGGGAGGATTGCTGGAGTCCAGGAGTTCAAGATTAGCCTGGGCAACACAGCAAGATCCTGTCTCTAAAAAAAAAAAAAAAAAAAAAGCAAAAAAATCAGCCAGGCTTGGTGGCGCGTGCTTGTAGTCCCAGCTACCCAGGAGGCTGAGGCAGGAGGATCGCTTGAGACCAGAAGTTCGAAGCTGCAGTGAGCTATGATCGTGCCACTGCACTCCAGCCTAGGCAACAAAGCGAAACTTTGTCTCAAAAAAAAAAATGGTGTTTATCTTTGTAATAGAGTTATATTCTAGGTTCAGTTAGTTACAAGTCCAAATCCTAGGCGATGTGGGAACTACGTGGACTGTGTGGGACTACTCCGCCTATAGCTGGATAGCCAGCATCCTCGCCCTGGACCTGTAAATGTCAGAGGAACACTCTACACCCCTCCGCGTAGCAACCAAAAATGCTTCTAGGGATTTCCAAAATATCCCCTAGGGGGCAGTAACACCTTTATTCAGTACGAAGCACTGGTGCTTAGGCAAAGTACACTGTATACCTGCGTGAACACGATAGAGTACAAGATGTCCCTCCGCCTCTGTGTGTGTCCCCCACGTGCGAGCTGGCTGCTGGCCTTGGGTCTCCATGGCAGTGTATTGTGTGTGCGTGGGCGCCAGGGCAGGGGCCTGCAGGTGTCTGGGCACTAGCAGCTGTGCGTGTGTCGTGGTCGTGTTCCTGTGCCCACAGTCTCCCCCGCAGCTGGGCTGCAGCCGCCAGGCTGAGGAGAGAGCCCTCGCCTCCCTTGCTTATGGAGTCCAGCTTTCCCAGCCACACTAGGGAAATTTGATTGTTTGCTGCTATTGTTTTTTGGTGGGGGGTGTTTTGTTTTGTTTTTGTTTTAGCTTTGTTTTCACTGAGACTCTGGGCTACACGTTATCCACCTTCTCGGTCTTAGTGTGTCTCTCTCTGTCTCCCTATCTCCATCTTTATTTCTGTCTCTGTCTCTCTCCAGCTCCCTTGTCTCGAATGCCCCACCCCCACCCCGTCTCTCTCTCATTTTCTTTCTCTCTTTCTTCCCTGGCATTATCCCTCTCCCCCGCCCCTTTCCTTTTTCTCTCTCTTTCTCTCTATCTCTGCCTATTTCTGTCCCTTCTCTGTGTATTGTGCTGTTTCTCTGTGTGTGGCTGTTTTTTCTCACTCTCATTTTCTCTCTTTTCCCCTTTCTGTCTCTATTTCTCTCTCTTCCTCTCTGTATGTAAAGCTCTCTCCCCTTTCCCTGTTTCTCTCTCTCTTTCTCCCTCCTATGTTTCCATCTGTCTCTCACACACACTATCTTTCCTCTGTCACTCTCTGTAAGTCTCTCGATCTTAAATTCAGTCTCTGTCTCTGTCCCTCCCCGCCCCCACCTCCCCTCCAGGCAAAGGAGTGGGGACGGGGTGTGCGCAGTTCTGAGGGCGCTGTTGGGCCTTAAGGGGCTGAAGGAGAGCCCACCATCCCCACTTCTCCTCGGCCCCTGCCCTAGCACCCTCTCGTGGACTACTGGCACAGGCTCTGGGACTTCAGGGTGCCATCAAAAAAGTCTAGCCCCAAGTGGTGGTGGCAGGCCAGGTTGGATTGAGCTGGGAAACAGTGCAGAGGGGAGACTGCTCCTGGGAGGGAGGGAGTAGGGAGACCAGGGCTCAAGTCCCACCTACCCAGGCCCCAACCGAGCCCCTGCCCAAAGCCCAACAATGATAGTGAGTCTCCAGCTTCTACTCCAGTTGCCCCACTGCCTTCCCTCTGGGACTTGCCCTGTTACCTTATCACATCCCCACACTCCTGAGCTCTCCTGTTCCCCCCACTAAGCTTTGCCGTGCTGCTTTCACAGCCAGATGCACCCCTCAGGCCCCTCTTTCAGCAAATCCTGCCTGGATGTCTCCTAGGAACTCTCTCTGACCCCGCAGTCCATTTTGTCCCTCAATTAATACAACATATGATCACTGAGAGCTACAGTGCTCTTCTAGAGAAGCATGAGTCTATAATCCCTGCCCCTGTGGAGCTTTTGTTCTATTAGGATGAGGCAGGCAATAAACCAAATTTTAAAAGTAAATTATATTGTGCATTAGAAAAGAGAAGGTCCAGGAAGAAAAATAAAGAGGGAAAGGGGCATAGGGTGCCATTGCCTCTCATCTGGAGGAGAGGAGCCTCCTGAGTAGTCGCACTACTTCTACCTGTGACCCACGTGATCTGTTCTCTGCACAGCAGCAAGTGGAATCCTGTTCAATCCTAAATAATATCACTTCTGGCCTCTGCTCAAAACCCTTCCATGATTCCCATCTCATTCCAAAGAAAAGTCCAAGTCCTCACCATGGCCTCCATGATCTGGCCTCACCACCTTTCTGACCTCACTCCCATCACTTTCCCCTTGCTTACTCTGTTCCACCCACCTTCCTTGCTCTTCCTCAAATATGCCATGTGCAGCAGTCCCCAACCTTTTTGGCACTAGGGACTGGTTTCATGGAAGATAATTTTTTCACTGACTGGGGGTGGTGGCTGGGCTTTCGTGGGGTGGGGCATGGTGCAGAGCTTAGGTGGCTATGGGTGGCCCCCTTCCTTAGAGGCCACAAACTGGTACCAGGCCGTGGCCCGGAGTTGGGGACCACGGTATATAGGTCCACCTCAGGGCCTTGGCTCTGTCTATTTCCCTGCCTGGACTTCTCTTCCCCCAGATATCCACATGACTCACTCTTTCACCTCCTTCAGGTCTTTGCTCAGATGACACCTCCTCCATGAAGCTTTCCATGTCCACCTCATCTAAAACTGCAACACCTTCCCCACCCCTAGTGCTTCCTATCCCCTTCCCTCCTTGATGTTTACTCTTGGGAACTTGTTTTCCTCTGATGGACTATACTTCCCCTGTGTCTCTTCTTTATTATCTAGAACAGGCGTGCTCAAACTATGGCCGGCGGGCCACATACATGCTGCCTAGCACGTTTATCCGGTCCTCCAAGTGTTTTTGCCGCGGCTGCCTGTCCTGCTTAACAGTCTACTCATCGCGGGCCCACAGTGTGCACTCTCCAATGGTCTGAGGGACAGTGTACTGGCCCCCTGTTTAAAAAGTTTGAGGACCCCTGATCTAGAATGTCAGCTCCACAAAGACCAGGATCTTTATCTGTCTGGTTCACAGCTGTATCTCTAGTTCTAGAACAGTGCCTGGTGCACAGTAAATGCTCAGTAAATATTATTTCAGTGCATGACTGAATATGCACAAGCATACCTACATCTTTATAGTCAGACATACTCCCCACCTCACCTAAAATAAAAACCAAAAGCCTCATGCTGGCCCACAGCCCCAGACACTTTTGCAACCTCTTCTCCTACCAGTGTCTCCCTCACTCACACAGTTCTGGCCACGCTGGTCTTCCCAGTGTTCTTTGAGCATGCTAAGCATACTCCTGATCGTGAATAAATGAATCTATTTAATGAGTGGCTACCACCATTTTAGGAAAACACAAAGAATAGAAATGAATGGGGCACATTACACATAGGATCTACTGTTTTGCAAAACTTTCAGCTGAGCTGTGTGTGCATGTGCGTGTATGTGTACTGGGTTGGGATGTAAAATGTACTTTTTCCTATGGTCAAAAAAGTCTGAATACAACCTTAGGGCTTTGCAAAGGGGTAGAAGAGCTGCAGCAACATCCCTGCCCCACAGACCCACCAATGGAGGAAGCAAGTAACCAAGGACATCCAGAGAGCAAGGTGCAGCAGTGGTCCAGGGACAGGGCCTGACACCAGCCAGGGAGTAAGTGGGGTGGGCTCATAGACACACTAACTCTGCCCTTTCTGTTTCTTCCTCACCTTTCCTCTCCATCTGTTTTTCACTGTCTCTCTCCTGTTGGTCTGTATCTCTCTCTCCTCACTCTTTCCTATCCCCTCCATTTTTGTGTCAATTTCTACCCATTTATATCCTTGTTTCCATTTTTCTATCTCTTTGTTCTCTCTCCCCCACTCTGTCTCTCTGTGTCTGTGTCTCCCCCATTGTCCCCATTTGCAGGTGCAGCAAAGCAGGACGACTGATGGAGCCCTCCAGGGCCCATCAAGTACCAGACTGGCTGGCCCCATAGGGTGGCCAGTAGCCCCTGCCAACAGTATCTCAGTATGGCCAACACCACCGGAGAGCCCGAGGAGGTGAGCGGCACGCTGTCCCCACCGTCAGCATCGGCTTATGTGAAGCTGGTGCTGTTGGGACTGATCATGTGCGTGAGCCTGGCGGGCAATGCCATTTTGTCCCTGCTGGTGCTCAAGGAGCGTGCCCTGCACAAGGCTCCTTACTACTTTCTGCTGGACTTGTGCCTGGCCGACGGCATACGCTCTGCCGTCTGCTTCCCTTTTGTGCTGGCTTCTGTGCGTCATGGCTCCTCATGGACCTTCAGTGCACTCAGCTGCAAGATTGTGGCCTTCATGGCTGTGCTCTTTTGCTTCCATGCGGCCTTCATGCTGTTCTGCATCAGCGTCACCCGCTACATGGCCATCGCCCACCACCGCTTCTACGCCAAGCGCATGACACTCTGGACATGCGCAGCTGTCATCTGCATGGCCTGGACCTTGTCTGTGGCTATGGCCTTCCCACCTGTCTTCGATGTGGGTACCTACAAGTTTATCCGGGAGGAGGACCAGTGCATCTTCGAGCATCGCTACTTCAAGGCCAATGACACACTGGGCTTCATGCTCATGTTGGCTGTGCTCATGGCAGCCACACATGCTGTCTATGGCAAGCTGCTCCTCTTTGAGTATCGTCACCGCAAGATGAAGCCAGTGCAGATGGTACCAGCCATTAGCCAAAACTGGACATTCCATGGCCCTGGGGCCACCGGCCAGGCTGCTGCCAACTGGATCGCCGGCTTTGGCCGTGGGCCTATGCCACCAACCCTGCTGGGTATCCGGCAGAATGGGCACGCGGCCAGCCGGCGGCTGCTGGGCATGGACGAGGTCAAGGGTGAAAAGCAGCTGGGCCGCATGTTCTACGCGATCACACTGCTCTTCCTGCTCCTCTGGTCACCCTACATTGTGGCCTGCTACTGGCGAGTATTTGTGAAAGCCTGTGCCGTGCCCCACCGCTACTTGGCCACTGCTGTTTGGATGAGCTTCGCCCAGGCTGCCGTCAACCCGATTGTCTGCTTTCTGCTCAACAAGGACCTTAAGAAGTGCCTGAGGACTCATGCCCCATGCTGGGGCACAGGAGGTGCTCCAGCTCCCAGAGAACCCTACTGTGTCATGTGAAACAGGCTGGTAGGCAGACAGGCAGGGAGAAGGTCAAGGCCACCATGACAGGGCCAACAGCAAGGGAGAGGGGCCCATATAGGAGCCTTCCTTTCTAAGCTCCAGCCCCAGCCCTTGAACCACCTGTAATCTAGGCACCTTGGCCAACACCTCCCCAGGGTGGGGGACTGTGCAGGGGATTGGGAAAGAGGTGTTTTTATTTTTGTGGGGCCTGTCTCTGCTGCCTCCTTCTCCACTTCTGCAATCTCATATTCTCTCTCTCTCTCTTTCTCTCTCAGAAGTGACAATTCAGAAAAAGAAAACAAAACTGGGAATGCAGGTTTTTCTACTAACAGCTGAGGAGACAGGCTTTCTTGCTTTAATGTCTCTCCTTCTGACATTGTCCAGAAGGAGGAAATTTGTCCTGTAAAATAGACTTCCAAAGCTCTTATTGCCCCATCTGCTCCCAGGCACCCTCCTCTTCCAAGTCCTTTAGCAAGGCCTGGATGTTTAGGGAGGTATTGATCCAAGGCTGCTGACAAGAGGGACCAAAGGGGGTGCTGGGTCCCCAGGAAGCAGGGATGTTTACTTGCTATGTTCATGTGCAATGTTGTTTTATGGCCAATTCTGGTCTCAAGCCCAGTCTCCTCTCCTTCCCTACCATGTCGAGACCTCTCAAGTGGTTCTCGTGCATCTGTTGGAGAAGCTGAGAGGGTAGGGAGATGGGCCCCCAGGATGGGCCCAGGCTAGGTGAAAAGCAGGATGTGAGCTGAACTCCTCAAGCTAAAGAGACCTGAGCTTGGCCTCATTCTTTCATGCTGCCTTCTGGATCCCTGGCCCCCAACTCTTCTTCCTGAGGATGGAAATTCATTTTAGCCCCTCTAGGGCTAATGTGGGTGTCATACAGGCAGGAGCAGCCCCCCAAGGAAGTGTAGTGGGGTCACTAGATTCCCCAGAGTAGCTGGACCTCGAGCCAAAGCCTCGAGTCAGAGCTGAAGTCAACCCAAAATTTCCTCCTGGGTCCACAACACTACTCTTCAGAAGATGAAAATTCTTTTTCAGCCTTGGTAACTGATAGTGGTACAAACTCCAAGGTACTGTGGTCTCTAGTCCATTCCTATCCAACCTCTTTTTGTCCCCCTCAAGCCTCAGGGGCCTCAAGCCCCTCCTTGGTAGCCCTCAGCCTTCTGGGCCCTCAGACCCAAACATTCCTCCTCTCATTCTCCCTCAGCCCCTCCCCCTTTCTCCCTCCATCCTTACCTACACCCAAAGTGGAGCAGACTCCAGCCAGATTCTCCAGGTGGGAGATCCCAAGCTTCCCTCCCTGGGGCAGAGCCCACTCTGGGCATACTTCAAGGCCAAGGCCATTGGTGAGCCAAGCTGGTGCTCCTTTGCCTGGGCTTGACCAAGTTCTCTGCCCTCCTCTCATTTCCTGCAATGGGGGGGGGGTTCTGTATTTATCCACCCCCACTTTCCCTTATCAATAGAAGTCCTTGTCCCAAGCTCCCTCCCTACCCCAAGACAGCCCCAGCACTGGAGAAGCCTCACCCAAAAGGAATGGGGATGGCACTGGGCACTTAGCACTCGAGGCAGGAGAAACAGTAATGAACCTGGCTGCATAGTGGCCTTGGAAAGGCAGGCCAGAGTGGCTGAGAGGCCGGGAATGGGGGGACCTGTTCTCTCAGTGATGGTGATGGGGGTGCCTTTCTGAGGGGGTGGGATGGGAAGACCAAGGGGGTGGGGGTAAATAGGGTACATTCAGGAGGGTTTTCCTCCATTTCTTTTTTCTAACTGCCTGGATTCACCATTGGATTTTGTAAATGGAAAAACTAAAATGAACAATGCTATATTGGATGTTTTCTCTTTCTGACTTTGTGTGTGTCTGTGTCTGCATGTCCTGTCTGTGTGACCACATGGGGGGAGGTATGATTGAGTGTGACAGTGTGTGTCTGTGTAACTTTGTGTGGGGAGGCACCTCTGAGGAAAGCATTCCTGGTGCATACATGTGAGCAAATGCCTGTATGTGGAAACATATACTGCATACACAGACACACCTAGTTGAGAGAAGACAAACTAGAGTATGTGCCTGCAGCAGGAAGAAGAGATGAACTTGGAAACGGTAGGTATGTATGTAGCAAGAGGGTAGACTCCCATCTCCTAAGATCGCTGCCGTTGGCCTAGGCTCTAAGCACGGGAAGAGGGCAGGGAAGTTGAGAACCTCATCTCCTCCCAAAGCTTGGAGCCCCAAGTACCACTCCTAACACTGTTCTCAGTCTCCTTCCCAAGTTCAAACAACATGTTCCAGAAATTGGACATCAAAGGGGGATTGGAGATCAAATGTGGGGTGAACTGATGGGGTTCTGAAATGCCTCTCACAAAGTAATGGCTTCTGCAGGGACTGCTCAGCCTGGGATGGGAGCCCTTCCTAAGGGTCCACTGTATACAGCTGGGACTTTGGTCAGCTTTGACCAAAATCAGAGGGAGAGGTGTCACAGGGGGGGAAAAAACACCCAAGTCTGGGAGTCTACCCAGCCAGCCTGCTCCCTGGGCACTCAATTAATTTATTATCTATTTATTTATTCTCTCAGGTGCACAGAATTGAGTTGACCATACTCCTCAGTTCTCGGCACACTGTATCATCATTGGTCCATGCGAGGCTCTTTTATTCTTTTTTTTGTTTTGTCCCCGTCATCACCCATCCCTGATCCCATTCCCTGCCACATAGGCACCCACTCTCGTGTATTTAACGTATGTCCTTCCAAATCACCATTCATGTGTTTATTTACATATATGTGTATCTGTGAAAAATATATGGTATTGTGTTTTAATTTACATAAACAGTATTGTACTAAATCTCGTTCTGTTTCTTTTTTCACTCAAACATTCTGTTTTTGAGAGATCCAGCCATGTTGCCGAATACAGATCTAATTCATTCCAGTGGTCCATCTTTTTTGTTTTTGGTTTTGTTTTTTTTTTTTTTTTGAGACAGAGTCTCGATTTGTTGCCCAGGCTAGAGTGCGTGCCATGGCGTTAGCCTAGCTCACAGCAACCCCAAACTCCTGGGCTCAAGCGATCCTCCTGCCTCAGCCTCCTGAGTAGCTGGGACTACAGGCATGCGCCACCATGCCCAGCTAATTTTTTGTATATATTTAGTTGGCCAATTAATTTCTTTCCATTTATAGTAGAGACAGGGTCTCGCTCTTGCTCAGGCTGGTTTCGAACTCCTGAACTTGAGCAATAGCCCGCCTCCGCCTCCCAGAGAGCTAGGACTACAGGCGTGAGCCACCGGCCCCAGTGGTCCATCTTAAACATATATCACCCTTTACTTATCCATTCCCCTGGTGATGGATCCCTAGTTGCCTCCAATTCTCCTCCACCACAAATGGCTGCTATGGGCAGTTACCTACACCTCTCTTTAGGAATCCCCAAGTTGGAGGACAGGGAGCTGAAGCTCAGAGAGGGGCAGTGATTTGGTTAGGGTTACAAAGTGAGGGGCACACCCGTGGCGTGAATCCCAGAACCAACACCAGACGTCCACTACCATGCCTCTTAAAAGACCATCCATCTTGTTTTTTCTTAAAAAAAAAATCTTAAAATACCATTAAGAACAGCATACACTTGGGGAAAAGAGTGAGGAAAGGATGGAAAATGGAAAGGAGGAATGTTCAGTACCTGAAGACATAGAAGGTCCTAGAAAAATCTAGCAGATTAGCTGAATCACAGTCTTTTTTATGACGCTGAGGAATTTATTTTTTTGGTGCGTGATTATTATTTCTAGAGCCATTTTGTAGAGATGGAAAACACCACGTCAAAACCTAGCCCCCAAACCAAACGCCCTGGGTGCCTAAATAGCAGACGCGCATCGGGTGGCGTCGGCCCCGCAGGGCTACAGCAGAGCTCGCCCCCGGGTCAGAAGCAGGGATGGGGGAAGGGGGCTGATTTTAAAAGTGCGTAGTTGTTGAGGGGAGGGGTGGGCGGGGGGAATGATAGCGAGGCTCTCCCAGTTTCATTCGAGCACTTCCTGCTCAGCTCCTGCGTTTGTTTCTCGTCTTGTTTTTCGGTCTTCAGAACCACTGGTACTTTTCCCATTGGATAAAATGCTGCAAGGGTTTAGGAGAGGGGCTTCCCTCCCTTAGCTTTCCTCGCAGCCAATCTCCCTGCAGATTCCCTCACATTGCGGAGGAGTCAGCCCGTTGATTGGCGGCTCCGAGGGAAGCCAATTGGAAAGTGATGATGTGTAGTGTTGGCAAGCAGATTGCGTGAGAGCTGGCAGGGGTTCAGGGAGAGCGAGCGGTGCCGCGGAAGCCGTCAGCCAATGGCGAGGCAGAACGGGCCCCTTGCGTCAGGGAGTGGGCGGGACCTTGCGCTTGGCGCGGAGGGAGTAGGGCAGGCGCTGTGGGAGGGAACACCAGAGCGGTCAGCAGAGCTAGTCGCGTGAGTTGCGGCGGCTCCGCTTCCAGTGTGCCTGGCAGCGGCGGCCCAGCGGAGAGCAAAGGGGCGATCCCCTGAGCTATCACCATGGATCGCCCGGATGAGGGGCCTCCGGCCAAGACCCGTCGCCTGAGCAGCTCTGATCCGCCTCAGCTCAACCCGCCGCCGCCGCCGCCGCCGCCGCCGCTCCTGCGACTGCCCCTGCCTCCACCCGAGCAGCGCCCAAGGCTCCGGGAGGAAACCGAGGCGGCACAGGTGCTGGCTGACATGAGGGGGGTGGGCGTGGGCCCCGCGCTGCCCCCGCCGATGCCCTATATCATTCTCGAGGAGGGGGGGATCCGCGCGTACTTCACCCTGGGTTCTGGGGGTCCCGAGTGGGATTCTACGATCGAGTCAGGGTACGGGGGGGCGCCCCCTTCCGTGGAGAGTCTGGATATACTCCCCCCTGCTGAGGTCTCTGGGGAAAACCTGGAAATTGACTTTCAGGTTGTGGATCCCAGCAGCCCTGTTGGAGAGAAGGTCCTAGAAACCTGTAGCGTAGAGGGGTGGGGGCCCCAGAGGTTAGTCGGTCCAAAGAACAGGGAAGAGGCTGTCATCCTAGTGGAAGATGAGGATGAGGATGAACAGGAAGGTTTGAGGAGCAGCAGGAGGAGGAGGAGGAGAAGGAGGAGAAGGAGGCAGAGGAAAATGAAGAAGGAGAGCAAAGAGAGGAATGCCGAGAGGATGGAGAGCATCCTGCAGGCGCTGGAGAATATTCAGCTGGACCTGGAAGCTGTTAACATCAAGGCAGGCAAGGCCTTCCTGCGTCTCAAGCGCAAGTTCATCCAGATGCGAAGACCCTTCCTGGAGCGCAGAGACCTCATCATCCAGCATATCCCCGGCTTCTGGGTCAAAGCAGTATCCTTCTCATCGATACTCATGGGCTAGAAGCCCATGAGAGGAATGGGGAGGTGGGGGGAGGGACAGAAAGGGTGGAAGGGTGTGGGGGAGGGCCCCTATCAGAACACTGCCTGGACTGGCTGGAGAAGGGCAAAACAGCAGAGAAGCTGGACTGGAGATGATGAAGGGGGGAGGGGGGCACACAGTACAAAAACTGGACCACAGATGGAAAGAGGGGAGAGGAGGAGCATAGCATAAAAAATGGATTGCAGACAATGAAAGGGGGAGGATAGTAGAGGGGCACACTGCAGAAAAATTGGACCAGAGAAGGTGAAAGGGGGGGAGGGACTCACAGAAGATAAACTGATTCAGAGAGTGAAGAGGGAGGGAAATGGTACACAGCAGAGAAACTGCCAGAGAGGGTGCCTAAGCCATAGGGCTCTGTAAGCCTAGGTCTCTTCTTAGACATTAGGAGACCCCAATCCTGGCTGAGTGACCTGCTGTGGGGGGAAGGGGGCTAGAGAGGGGCTCAAGCCCCTGATGAAGGGTCAGTAGAGGGAGTATCTGGCATGCAGATTAAGGAGTTAAATGAAGGAAAGGGGAGAGTAGGAAGAATCTCATTCACTTATGGTGATTATTAAGCTCATCTCTGGGGGACACATGCACATACATGTCACATGTTAGGAACATGTGAGTTTAACATCCTAACAGAATTACATGGATACAGATCATTGGCGCCCTCATACAAAGAAGCATATGATAACGGGCCCTCAGCACCTAGGAACACACTATCATGTAGATGTAGGACCTCAGCATCCAGACAGTGGTCACAGGTCCTCAGCATGCATACATACAGCATCACTCAGACACAAGTCCTCAGAGCCATTCACACAACAATATGTGGACACAGACCCTCCACACCCACACATACAATATCATGTGACCACAGGCCCTCAGTAACCAGATACAGCATCACTTGGACATGGGCCTTCAGTACCCACACATACAGCATTTTGTGAACACTAGCCCTCAGTACCCAGAGACAAATATCATATGTACATAGACCCTCAGCACCCAGCAAAGCCACCTAACACAGAGGTTTATCATGGGAATAAAAGTATGGGTCATTTCCCATGAGCCACTTGTTCCACACACATCATATGAACACAGAGGGAATCCTGTTCCAGCTTCTCTTTTGTTTTGCTCTGCCCGATCTTCCCTCCCTTCCTTTCACTGGATAGTCAATCCTTGACCTAAACTGCTCCACTCATCAGTTCCTCAACCACCCCAGAATTTCAATCTTGATCAACCGTCGTGATGAAGACATTTTCCACTACTTGACCAATCTGCAGGTCAGGCCAAAGAGACATTTGTTAGTAGGACCGGGCAAGGAATCTTGTCCTTGGAGGTGAGGGGGGAAAGGCCATGGGTGGGGGGGGGCAGATTCCACCATCACCCCCACCCTGAGCAGGTACAGGATCTAAGACACATCTCCATGGGCTACAAAATGAAGCTGTACTTCCAAACAAACCCCTACTTCACAAACATGGTGATTGTCAAGGAGTTCCAGCGCAACCGCTCGGGTAAGAGGCAATCCCAGGGTAAATCTGTGCCCCCTGCCAATCTATCCTTGTTCAGCCCCCTCTTAATAGTCTCTTCTTCCACCAGGCCGGCTGGTATCTCACTCCACCCCAATCCGCTGGCACCGGGGCCAGGAACCCCAGGCCCACAGGCATGGGAACCAGGACTCCAGCCACAGCTTCTTCAGCTGGTTTTCAAACCACAGCCTTCCAGAGGCTGACAGGATTGCTGAGGTGGGGCCTTTCCTGACATCACCAGAAAAGGCCTTCCTAGGCTTGTCCCTGGGTGTCCAGGAAATTGGGAGTAGGGTCTGGGCTGGGGCTTGTATTTATGGCTCTGTTCTACTTTCCCCCCTTCCTTTCAACAGATTATCAAGAATGACCTGTGGGTCAACCCTTTACGCTACTACATGATGAGAGAAGGAGGCTATAGGACAAACAGAAAGAAGCAAGAAGAGAAGAAAAGGTGATAGGGGTTTAGTGGCTGAGAGGTAGTTTGTTGAGGTTGGGACAAAGACTAGACTAGTGTCACACAGGATTTATGGAGCCAATCCAGTGCAGTATGTTTTACAAGGGGAGAACAATGGCCTGAGGTTACACAGGGGCAGAAATGGGACTCTTTCCACCCTAGCCTCTCTCCTGGGAACCCTTATAGTCTATTCCCTGCCCAGTTACTTACCACCTTTCAGTGTCTGCCATGGGTATACCCCTTCCCACCAACCCCATACTCAGCCCCAGGCTTTCCTACAGTAAAAACAAGAATCAATGTGAAGTGGTGATCGTGGAAGATGCTTATGACTATTATGCAGTGGAAGACATTTTCAGCGAGATCTCAGACCTTGATGAGACCATTCATGACATCAAGATCTCTGACTTCATGGAGACCACCGATTACTTTGAGACCACTGACAACGAGATAACGGACATCAATGAAAACGTCTGTGACAATGAGAGCCTTGACCACAATGAAGTCCACGACAATGAGACCACTGATAACAACAAGAGCAATGATGACGAGACCACTTACAACGAGAATGCCAATGACAACGATGAGAACCCTAAAGACAATAACAAGAACACCAGTGACAATGAAGAGAACCCTGATGACAGCAATGAGAATGCTGATGGTGACAACAAGAACCTCAGAGGTGGCAACCAGGGCAGCATTGGCAACCAGGACAGCAGTGACAGTGATGAGGGCAGTGATGATGAAGATAATGATGGCAACGAAGGTAGTGATGATGACGGCAATGAAGGTGACAATGAAGGCAGTGATGACGATGACAGAGACATTGAGTATTATCGGAATGTCATTGACGACTTTGACAAAGATCAATATTACAGCAACCAGCATGCCTATGAGGATGAGATACAGATCATCTCAGATGAATCAGTGGAGGAAGGTGAGCTACCCCTCTCCCTGTCTTCCCTCCTTTCTCTTTCAGAGAAAGCCTGACCAGCGTCAGGATATCAAGGCATGAACACAATCTGCTTTTATGGAGGAAATAAAAAGCATTCTGTGCAACTTTTTAAACAAGGGAAGGCCAGGGAACATTTAACTTACAAATGTAACAAAACCAAAGAAACATTTTAGTTCTATGTGATGGATAGATAGGCTGTAACATAGCAAAAGGCAAATGAAGAGTGGACAAAGAGAGATAGGAGACAGTGGATGGAAAACTAAAAAGGACAGGTTCACATAGAGGTGGGGGAGTGGCAAAACACATTGCAATTCAGCACACTCTGTACCCAGCCTTAGCCTTCTGAGAATTCTCAGGCTTGCTTGGGGAACTGAGCGTGAAGTGAACATTGTGCCCTGTGAACCTAAAGAAGGTGCAGCTAATTCTACCTCAAGGGGTGGGGAAGTGGAGAGCTAGAGAAAGGAGATGACATTTGACTTGGAGGCTGCATTCACGCTGAGGAGCATTAATGTAGCATTCTCACTGGAAGGGATCTTGTGAACAAAGACCTGGAAGGATGAAAATACTGGTATGTTGGGCAGGGTTTCCAAAATTGTCTCCTGGGGAATCCTTCACCTTTTCTGAAAGCTGCTTCTCACAAAACAGTCGGTGGTCAGATATGTTGGGAAAGTAACTGCATACAACATCATCCTCTTGTAGAGTCACATGTACATTAGCACCTTAAAGGCTCTGAGAAGTCCTGCTGTAAAAAAAATCCCTATTAAACTTTGTGGAATGCAGTATTTCCCAAACTTCTTGACCACAGACGCCATTTTTCACTACCCACTAACGAGTGCATTTTGGGAAATGCTGAGAAAGGGTTGCATAACCCGAGTTTGAGGGAGAAGGTAGTATCTAAGGTTCAGGTTTGGCTGGCTGGTGTAAGGAGGTGTTTGAGCCTGGCTGTAGGCTTTGACAAAGAAGCAGGTCCCTGGGGGAGGTGGAAAGGACAGGAAAACCACTCCTGGAGTTTTTGGCCATGGGGTCCCTGGCAAACTTCCATTGAGGGCAGGGCACCAAGGAAGGAGGCACTGAATGAGTGAGCAGCCTCAATCTAGATATATTTTCAGGTAGGGCAGGGAAACTGAGGGAGTTGTCAGTCCTCTTCCCCTCCCACCTGATGGCATCTCTTCTTTCAGAGAAGGGGAAGCAAAGCTGTCTGTTCAGCCCTGGGGTGGGAGTGGGAGTGGAGAATTGGGCTGAAGAAGACAGACTGGGGTCTGTTTGGATCAGACTGGAGGAAAGGAGCTGCCTGGAGATGAATAGAAGGTTTATTCAGCTGAGGATGGTGCTAAGGAAGAGAGACGCATTGACATATACAGAGAGGAGAAAAAACAACTTTCAAAGATGTATCAAATTTGACAGGACAGAGGCAGAGAGCCTACCCTGCCTTCCTGCCTCCCTCCCACTCCCCTAACTCTGTGGACTTGCTTGAGTTCACACACACACACTTGGCTGCTTGTTCCAAGCAGAGGCACTTGGCAAGGGGTCCCAGGTCCCCAAAAGCCCTGGTTATCGGTTCCGTTCCCTTTTAGCGTGACATCTACTTGCCCGTGTAACCGCCCTCTTCATTTCCCGGTCCTTGCTTCTCCCCTATGCAGGCAGCGTGCAAGGTGAGGACTTCTATGAGGAAGGAGGCTATGAAGTGGGAGGAAGTGAGGAGGATGACTGGGATGAAGGAGAAGATTCTGAAGACTCCAACCTGGCGGAGGTGGTTCAGGTCCCAAACGCTTGGGCCAACCTCGGGAACATGGGAAAAACCGGATAAACATCTTACCCCTGCTAAACATCTTACTCTCACAGGGGTCTCCTTTCTGTATCCCCCACACCCTACCCCGTTTACCCTCCCCCTCAGCTAGGGCCGCGCGGCCCCAAATTGCACTTCTGGGGGGTGACCGACTTCATACACGGGTTTAAAATTTATTTTTATGATTTAGTAATTGCAGAGTTCTTATTTTGGGGGGAGGGAGAGAGGGATAACCCCCTTCTTTTGGCCCTCCTCCCCTGCAGGCTTCTGTGTGCTGCTAAACGTATTTATTGTGATGCCTTGGTTAGGGCCCCTCTATCCCCCTCTCCTCGTCAAGTGTTGGCCCTAGCCCCTCTTCTCTTGCTGTGTGGAGTGGACACCCTGATCCCCAAACGGGGAGGGCTGCTGTGGTCTTCGTCACAGCCTCGCAGTGCCCTTGGAGGCGCTGCTGCCACCCTGTTATCCCAAGTTCTCTCCCTCTCCCCTCTCTATCCTGCTCCTTCTTCAGTCGTGCCCGTTAGCCCGCCTAGGTGTTTCTGCCAGGCCGTATCGCCATTGAGATATTCCTGCTCCCCTCCCCCAGAAGGCCCGCTTCTTTCCCTGTGAACCCTGGCAATCCTAATAAAATTCTGAGCAAATTCAAAGTGCCCCTTCGAGTCTTTTATTCTGCCCGGTGCGCGGTTCCTGTCGGCCAATCTCCCCGCAGGCGTGCGTGGAGTGGCCCAGCCCGCGCGGCAGCCTGCAGCACCGCAGTGGCTGGGGCGCGGGCGGGCAGGGGCGAGCTCTGTAGGGCCGCAGAGGCGTTGCGTCAGACCAATGCGGACCGTCCTGGCCAATGGCAAGGCGACGTTGAGGAAGCTCTTCCCACTCCTGACGCCCGCGATGGGCCCAGCCAGGTAGCAAAGAGCTTCCCACGCCTTATCCTGTGACGCACGCGCACAGACACTTTGCGCCCTAAAACCTCCATTTATTCAATGATTCATCTTTTAATTTATAGTGCGTCATACCCTTCCTCCAGCATAGTGTGAGCTGGGCGTGGGGGAACCAGCGGAATCCATTTTTCTTGTTCGCGTTAGGCAAGAAAAAAAAAAGACTTCGATCCTGACGTCACAACCCAACCATGCAGGAGCGCTGGATTTCCTTTGCGAGGGAGATCTGTGGAGCTAGGCCTGGGGGAGAGGGCAGGAAAAGATGGCTCAGGCCGAGGAGTGTCCGCAGAGATAAAGGAAAAACAAAGTTGTTAGGGACCGACCTTTTACAGCCCCACCGGACAGAAAAGCAGAAACATTGAGGATGCAATCACACAAAAGGAGGTTTATTTTCTGGCTAGCCAGAGTCCAAGCCCCAGAGCACCAACACAGTGGCCACTCTCGCAGGCAAGGACCCCGACCTGAATTGCGGGGTGCCTTTTATCCCCCCCCCAAAGGGCCCTAGCAACGCACAAACTAATCACGGGCTGGTCATGAGCTGACCTTTGAAGTGATTAATTTTCTTAGTATCCTGCGCGATCCCTGCGCATCCCACCTCCCTTTCGCCTTTTTTTACAACCCAAGAGATAACCGGAGGTATAAACAGATGTGTGCTGCTTGCTAATTGCCTCACCCTACTTTACACAAAGAGGGGGAAAAATTCCTTTTTTGTTGTGCCACTGAGACGCAGCCGAGGCGCCATCGAGGCGCCCCCACAAAGTGAAATTACTATGTAGCTATGCGACACGGTGGGGAAGTCGGGAGTTGGACATAGAAAAGGCAGGCTTCATCTGGAAGACCTTGGAAAGGCTGAGTTATAATATTAAATTTTGGATACAGTACTTTTATTTCAACTGACACTAGAAATATTTCCCAGATTCGTTTTGGATAATAATGATAACTTTTATACAGACATCCAGGTCTGTCTATTACAATATGCATCCAGAAATTTCCATCCAACGCCTTTATTTTGCTGGAAGGCTTCATATATGGTCAGATCTGCGTTTTAGAGAATGCCCTCTGCTGGCTGCCAGGAGAACGGATTGGAAGGAGGGAGAGCAGTGAGGAAGTGAACGCTAGACCTCAAGTGAGAGAGGCATGATGGAGGTCAGATATGGGAGAGTTTTTTTTTTTTTAAAAAAAAAGCTTTTAATTTCAGAATGGTTTTAAATTTACAGAACTATTGCGAAGGTAATGCAGAGAAATCCCAGGTGGCCCACAGCCAGTTTCCCATATTATTAACATGTTACATTAGTGTGACACATTTGTCACAATTAACCAATATCAGTATATTATTATTAACTAAAGTCTATACTTTATTCAGATTTCCTTAGTTTTAACCTAATGTCCTTTTTCTGTTCCAGGATCCCATCCAGAACACCGTACTACATTTAGTCATCTTGTCTCCTTTGGCTCCTCTTGACTATGACACTTTCTCAGACTTTCCTTGTTTTTGATGACCTAGAGTGAACATTTGAGGAGTACTGGTCAGGTATTTTGTAGAATGTCCCTTAACGGGGATTTGTTTGATGTTTTTCTCATGATTAAATTGGAGTTATGGATGCGAGGGAGGAAGACCACAGAAGTCAAATGCCATTCTCATCACATTGTATCAAGGATACACACTATCATTTACCACTGTTGATGTTAACTTGATCACCTAGCTGAGGTAGTATCTATCAGGTTTCTCCAGTGTAAAGTTACTCCTTTCCCCCATTTTCCATGCTGTACTCTTTGGAAGGAAGCTAACACAGCCCATGCTTAGGGTATAGGGAGTTATGCTCCATTTCCTTGAGAGGGAAGGAATTTATCTACATAAGTTAGTTGGAATTCTTCTGCATGAGAAATTTGTCTATTCTATGAGAGCTTTTAAGATGTTGGACTCAACAGGATTTAGCTATAGGAGAGGGGTTGAGAGAAGTTGAGATGACTACCAGGCAAGGCCCCTTCCCTCTCTGTGCCTCCTCTGTGAAATGGTTGAAACATCAGATCTTGGACTTAAATCTCCATGATTCTGATATATGTTTGAGGGAGAAGATGGAGGTTTTGATGGCTGTGGTTCTGACCTTGACTCTCATAGGTGGGGAGAGGACTGAGGCTCAGAAAGGGAATGTCTTGCCCAAGGTAATGCAATACCTCAAGGCCAGAGCTGAGAGTGCAGGATCCTAAGTCAAGGCATCTTGTGCAGAGGAGACATCTATGTGCAATATCTGGAGCCAATCTGGGGCGAAGAGAAGAGAATGAAGAAGCATCAGGGGCAAAGGCCCTGGAGTGGGCCAGGAAGAAGTCAGCCTGGCCAGAGGATCTCAGCCAATCAGAGATAGCCAGCCTGGTTACTCTTGCCTCAATCTGCCGTACCTCAGGTGACTCTCCTCGTCCTCTCTAAGGGTCTCAGTCTTCCCATCTAAACACTTAGGCTAATCATACTGAAGGATCAGCCTATAAGCAACCTGCCTAAGGTTCCAAGATGGAGCCTCACCTTGAAGCAGCTCTCTGAAGTCTGGACTTCATCACGCTCTTTCCTGATTCCTCTCTTTCCCTCTAGTCAAATCCCCAGCCACTCATCCTGGCGTCTGAAACTCCTCTTCATCCACCCTTTCAGAGAGGGCCTCTGAACTTCATCTTCAGGGATACTATTAGAAGTCAATTGTGGGACTCTATAATAATATAGTTGGCCCAGGTGCTCATGTCCTAGGCTGAGGCATGGGAGAAAAGAATGTTCTTTGCCCAGAGTGACATATTGTTCCCTGTGCCCTCACTCCTCAGTCTGGACCTCCAAAAGGGAGGGATGTTCTAGAAGGTCTTTAAGGTCAGCCACATCTAGCTCCAAGACATAGTCTTCACTGAAGACCAGAGAAGACAGGCCCCATTTGCTGGGACTTTAAACAGAAACCAGGGGGAAGATGAGGAGTCATGGGCCCAATGTGCCCCAGGATCTGTTCCCATGCTGAAAATACTTGTCTTTATATCCTTTATACCTTACTCTGCTCCTCTGCAGCAGAAGACCCTGCTCCTAGGCATGAGGTTCCCAGGATCTCCTGGGGCCAGACCTTTAAAGTGCCATACACTTCTGTGAGCAGAATCAGCGACAAAACTAGATTCAGGAATGTCCCGCCTTCTTACGTGACCAAAAGGGCCAGCACTGACTCCCTCAATTGAGAATGTTTAGGAAGGAATCCTATTATTGACTCATTGGTAAACACTAATCAAGCACCTACTGTATGCCCTATACTGAACTGGGTGATAGGGATACAGCAAGGAAACAAGATAGACCAAGTCTTCATCCTTCTGAAGCCCAGAGTTCAAGACAAATATTCTTAACATTTTTGTGCCATGAACCCCTTTGGTGACCTAGTGAAGCCTGTGGACCTTTTCTCAGAAAAAAACATCTTTTAAATACATAGAATTACAAAGGAAACATTATATTGAAATAAAGTTATTAAAATATGGAAAAAGCAAACATGTGCTATAGTCATATATGTGCTCCCCATTAATCTATTAAATCATAAGATCTAATGGAAGGTCTCATGACTATCATGATTTTAAAATAGTGATGAGATTATATGATATTTCAAGAGTTGTGCAACATCTATAAAAATCTCTTACTTTCTTTTGGTGACAGTCACCAATACTGCTACTACTACTATGGTTAGTTACATTCTTTATTGAAGAAAAGGCTAAATTTCAGTTAGAGGAGAGAGAATATAAAGATGTAAATTTGTTACCATCCAAATTCATGGACCCTTCCAAACCCTGTCCCCAGACTCAGCTGGAGGTCTTTGGAAACCAAATTAGGAACCTATGCTAATAGGAGGGTTCTTCCCCTCTCTCCTTCCTTATTAAACAGTTTTCCTGGCCAGGGGCCGTGGCTCACGCCTGTAATCTTAGCTCTCTGGGAGACTGAGGAGGGCGGATTGCTCAAGGTCAGGAGTTCAAAACCAGCCTGAGTGAGACCCCATCTCTACTATAAAAAAAAATAGAAAGAAATTAATTGGCCAACTAATATATATAGAAAAAATTAGCCGGGCATGGTGGCGCATGCCTGTAGTCCCAGCTACTCGGGAGGCTGAGGCAGGAGGATCGCTTGAGCCCAGGAGTCTGAGGTTGCTGTGAGCTAGGCTGACGCCACGGCACTCACTCTAGCCTGAGCAACAAAGCGAGACTCTGTCTCAAAAAAAACCACAAAAAACTGTTTTCCTTTGGAAGATGGAAACCTGGATTTTATTCTGGGTTTTATTGCTGTGTGACTTCAAGTTTGCTTCTCTGGAACATAGGTCCCTCAACTGAACATTGGGAAAGGCAAGAATTGGGAGGAGCGACCTCAATTATTCATGCTCCAGACAATTAGTTTATGTTCTCTCATTTAATTGTGAGGAAAAAATTTAAATATCTTCCCATTTCAAAGATGGTTAAACTGAGGCTCCTAGCGAGGCTGTCACTTGACCAATGTCTCAGTATGTAGCAGGGGCTAGTGAGTGACGTGCCGCATGCCCAAAACTACCTCATCCTCCAGAGAATTAGGAACTCTGCTCACTTTGAGCGAGAGCAACCTAGCTCGGAAATCTCTGCTGATGGGTGTGAAGCTGTGGGCGACTGAGGGCAGAGTCCTGTCTCTTAGCAGAGCGGTGGAAGTGCAAGGTGGCTTACGGAGAGTAAGACGTCAAGAAGCTGCGGGT